TAGAAGAAGCATTTCATTACAACAGCATTGACATATTCAATAACAATTTCCAGAGCTAAGATGCATCTCTTTCAAAATTGGCTATATATTTTTAGGTTCACAGTTGAATTAATACAGTTATACAATATTGTATGCAGTATAAACCCTATAAGACATATAATTGAATGAGGTTTTAACCTTTAAAAAAGATCTCCATTTCATTTAAAAATATAGTTTCATACAGAAAAACTCATTTTTAATGCTACTAATACTTAGATGTTTGTGCATGTGTCTTTAATCCCTATGTATCTGATTATTACTAGTCACAGTCAGTTACACTCGGATCCTTAGTACCTGTGTATGGATATAAAGTCATCAGGTAGATTTCACTGGTAATGTTTATCACCTCTACTATTTAACATGAAGTAAATTTTTTCAAATTTTTAACAACTACATGAACTGTGTTACTTAAAGAAAACAATGTTAATGAGAAGAATTCGACACTGATACCAAGTTATTTTGTAAAATAAAAGAATTTCTCAATAAGTAGCAGGTACTGAATTGTTATAAGGAAATGTTCAATAATAATTTTATTCCATATGAAACTTTTCCCAAAAGAAATATTAATAGTTAAGAACAAGACAGTTAAATTTCATAAAGTTGTAAATGTATTTGGTAAAGATATTTTTGATCTTCCTCATGTTTTCATGTCTTGATTAGTTTTATAGTCCTTTCAATCCTCTGAAATCACACCATGCAAAGTGCAGCTCACACAGAAGCCAGGGGCGAAAGGTAAGGCCATCGGATGGCGCAGGCGGCAGTCGAGGCCGCAGCTGCAGTGACGGAGACTGCCCTCAAGTGCTTTAGTATGTACATGTGTTTTCTGATGAACATTCAGTCATTTAGTAAACTTAGTACCAGCACACTGAACTTCATATGATTTATTTTAAATGATTGCTGGTTCCAGATAATTAAAAAACCACAAACTGTATGGTAGCAACTATAGTAACATAGAGGTTTTTAAAAGATAGTTTTAAAGTTATCACATAACAGTGGGATATAATTTTTAAAAATACAAATGACATTTATAGCATAAGGCTCTGTGGTTTAATCAGTAAATTAAAGACAAACATCAGAGAAAGGTTCTAAAAAGTGAAACATGTTTCCTATCAGAATTTATTCTTTACTTTCTAAAAGTGATTGATTACAGACATTAAAATGTTCAAATGAAAAGGTTCTGGAACGCCTAAAAAAAGAATTAAACCTCAGAAGTAGTCATTTCAGGCCAGACTATCATGGCACGCTAAAACAATCTGTCAGTAGCCAGAAGATACAATTACTCATCTTTTAGAGAAGTTTATTATTTTGAAACAATACAGCAGAAATCTCAAAAGTTTACTCATTAAATATAATTTAATTATTATTAGTTTTTACAAACCTCCCTATGAAAATGCAGTTCATGTAAGCTGCAACCTTAGAATTTGAATTCAAAATGAAATATGAAGGCAGCCGTTGGGGAAATTACATCAGAGAGCTTCGTCCGTGTTCTGTACAAACCAGCACATGTACCTCTTCTGTGATACAACAGCAAAATAAGTGATCCTAAATATACCCAAGTAAATGCAGAAAAATACACTGCTATTGAGGCAGATCATGCTAAAATATAATTTACAATGATCAGTTTGCATTTAAGCACTAATAATGCTTGCTAACCAATGAGATCAAGGTGAGAAATTCTGCAGTATTTTGCTGTCTTGTACTAAACCTCAGTTCATCTGAAAATGAGACTGGACAAAGCAAACGCCCAGTCCTGCTCTTTCTGCTCCACACTCACCCCGTCACGCTAAATGCAAATAAACCAGTACAGCATCAAGATTTTTCACATAATAAAAGTAGCACACAGGAGAGCTTCCAGTCACCACCAACGCAAGTTCTTTAACGGCATGAAGACTTACAAGCCAAAATAAACATTTGATTTAAAAATTGTTAAGATAACTCAGTTATCCTTTTTCTCTTTGAGATTGGTAAGGACTGGATCTTTAAAAACCCGAAGAGGAGGCTATAAGAGGGAAAAAAATCCTCAATGCTTTAAAAAAATTCAACTGGTTAGAGGAGTCCACATAACTCCTACACTGGCTGGCATGGAACCAGATGCTTTCTGTCACAGAAACAGTCTGTCTCCTGCAGAAGCAGTTTCTTCAAGCCAGCTATACACCGATGCAAATCAGCTTACCCATGATTGAAACTGAGTTAACCCTCCAAAGAGCAGCACAGGACACCTCACCCAAAGAGATCTTTTAAATCATTGCTAGCTGAACTGCTATTGGTCATAGAGGTTGGTGGCTGTGCAAAGTTCTGTGGGTTAAAGAAAGGATTACCCTGCATACCAAAGGCAGACTGTCCCATCACATTCACCTGTGTGCCCATCACTGAACTGCCCACACCTGGAGAACCCTGAGGAGGTACAAACTGATGAAGCCACTGATTTGGTTTCTGTTGTGATAGCTGGTTCATGCTAACTTTGGGTTTCTGAGGGCCAAAGAGATTATTAAGGGCAGACATGTCTGTGGGTCTGTGTTGGGCCTGCTTCACACCAGCAGGAGGAACGCTCAGAGAGCTGAGGTTGGGCAGAGCAGGAGATGCTCCCAGAGCCATTGTGCTCACTCCAGGCGCGCTTGGGCCACTGAAGAAGTTCTGGTTCGGATTAACCGGCATGTTGAAACCTGAGGTCTGAAAGCCCATGTTGGCATTTAGGCCATTTGTCAAAGTTCTCTTCGTATTATCAATTGATGTAGAAAACATCATGCCGATGCCCGTGGAAGGAACAGACGTGAAGGTACTTGAAGCGGGTAGCTTAGGAGTGCTAACAGAAAGGCTGGTCAAAGACGACATATTATCCATCAATGTGTCTGTCAAGTCCTTAGTCTGAAAAATAGGAGGGAATTCCTCTAACTCCAGGAAACTCAAACTACTTTATAATTAGTAAACATCTGACAGAGTAAAATAAATAAAATAAAGGACAAGTTAAAATCAAGCTGATGGTCTATATCAAGTCAGCAAACTATGACCTGCAGGCCAAATAATGACCATTACTGATTTTCAGTTTTTAAAGATAAATATTTGCAATCAATTTAATGACAGTCCCACAGTAATCTTTACATGGTAAATTAAATTTCAGTTAAATGCAGTGCTGTTCTCCCAAGGTAGAATTACATTCTTCTCATTAGAACTATATTATAAAAAGGACATACTGTTATTTTTATATTTTAAATTTCATCAATTTTTAAAAGAAATTTATTTTTTCTTTTCTTATATAAGTACCTACAAAATAGTCTCAATTTCACCTCTTGGCCTGCAAACTACCTGAAACACAGTGGGAAGTAAATACTGGTCAGGTAATATAGGTACATCATTCTAAATCAAGTTACAAACCAGTTAAAACTGAGAAGCCCAAAAAGGAAGCTTCTTTTAGCTGACAAAGACTTAAGAACATGTATATAATATTCCTAGTAATAAGTAATATGAAACCACATATATTTTTGAAGACCACTATTCATCCAGCTTTCTCTTTATGAACAAGTAATGTCACAAAATATTAGGCAGATACTAAGGAGTTGCTAGAAAATCCTCATGTTTATACTTTTTAGTTAATACCTTATACTATTACTCTTTGAATGACATCTTTTACAAATACTAGACATTTACACTCTATCCTCTTTACTAGTAGTATGCTTGAAATGACACAGAAGAAATGAACTCTGACCTGTTTTACTGAAGCGATAGGTGTGTGCACTTGGGGCTTGAGAGGCTGCTGGCTTTTCAACTTCTGGGCCTGCTCCTGTTCTTTTGCTAATTTTTGTTTTTCTTCAAGTGTAAGTGATGCCTTAAGGCAAAGCAGAACAACACAAATCAACAGGCAATTCTATAATTCCATTTATAAAACAAGATTTCTTTTTCTGGAAAAGTATATCTAGGTACATTTGACAATGTTTACTACCTGAATAAAAAGCAAACCACGTTAGTGCTGGTTTGACTGTGATAGAAAGTTCTATTTCCGATTCACACATCAACTTTAGGTAGAGACTCTCACCTTTACGATCTGAGCTAAAATATTTCTAGCATAAAATAACTATATTAAAAAATACACATTAGAATTTATTTCTATTTTTAATATGTATATATTATATATAATATATTATATATATATTAAAGACCATTATATGATATATAATGATTAAGTGATTTCATTCTTCTTCAACTTTAAAAATCTTAGTCTAAAAAGCTCATGAGTCAGGCCTGGGAGCACAGGCCTATAATCTCAGCTACTTGGAGCCTGAGGAAGAAAATCACAAGTTCATTGCTTGTCTGGGCTACAAAGTGATCCCAAGGCCAGTCTGGGCAACTTAGTTAGACCCTGCCCCAACAACACAAAGTAAAAATTCTTAGTCTAAAGAGCTAATGAGTCACGAAGGATGGCTCACGCCTTTAATCCCAGTACTTGGGAGGCAGAGGGTCCTGGATCTCTGTGAGACAGAGGCCAGTCTGGCCTACTTGATGAGTTCCAGGCCAGCTGGGGTCACAGTAAATAAGTAAGAAAGTAAATAAATAAATAAACAAACAAACAAACAAAAAGTAAAAAGAAAGCCTAGGGAGATGGCTCAGTGGGTAGGAACACTGAAGGGCCTGAGTTCGGACCCCAGAACCCAAGGGAAAAGTCAGGTGCAGTAGTATCTATCTGTGATCCCAGCACTACTTCACAAGATACAAGGTGGAGAGAGGAGAACTGCAAAAAGCTCAAAGGCCAGCCAGCCTAGCTACACAGCAAACAAGAGATCCTGTCTCAAACAAGGTAGAAAGCAATGACTGATACCCAAGGTTGTCCTCTGACCTCGATATGCATGCTGCACCACACATGCACCCACACTTAAATGCATGAACGCAAGCATGCAAGCACACACATACACCAACACAAAGTAAATAAATACATGTAATAAACTTTTTAGTAAAAAGGGGGCTAAGAATATAGCTTAGTGCTAGAATACTTGCCTACAACTTGGAAGGCCCTAGGTTCAATCTCCAGCACAACAAAAACTCTAAGTAAATTGTTAAGGAAGAATTAAACAAAATGTTTTTTTTTTTTTTTTTTTTGGTCTTTTTGAGACAGTGTCTACCTGTAGCCCCAGCTGTCCTGGAACTCACTATGTAGACCAGGCTGGCCTTGAACTCACAGAGATCCACCTGCCTCTGCCTCCCGAGTGCTGGGATTAAAGGCGTGCACCACCATGCCTGGCAAAATGTTCTTTTACTGTAAATGTCTACATCAAGTTAACTAATCATTTTGTTTATTCTGCTAAATTCTAAGCTCATAACACTGTCTTTTACAATTCTGTAAACTCCTATGTCCAGTTGTCCATTAGCTTTACACAGAGATTAACATATTATGTGAATGACCACAGAAAGAAGTCAAGAGCAATCAGAAACCTATTCTAATTTCAATAGGAAAGTATTACGTTACAGTTTACGATTCAAATCATAAGGAGGGTAAATCTTTAATAGGAGTCAAGAAAATATATACTCAGATTTTATCTGCTTGTTAAGTAAAATCAAATCTCATTTGAAAATTCTCTTTAAAATAGTGTTGATTCACCATTAATAAGTCTTATCAACATTACATATCCCTGGGTAGAATAAATCAAAAAGGATATCTGTCACTTCTGTAATATTCTTGCCAAAATGTTATATATAACCTGGGCTGAAGAGATGGCTCAGCAGATAAAGGCACTTGCAAGCCTGATAACCTGAGTGTGATCCCCAGGACTCACGTGGTGGCAAGAACAGACTCCCAAAATACATCCTCTGACCTCCACATGCACACCATGGCATGCACAATGCATAACCTTAAGTTTCATTATAAAAAAAAATCAGGCAATCCAAAATTGAGCATTATGCTACCCAGTAAACTGGCAAGGTATTCTTCAAATATGTCAAGGTAAAACAGGTGTGATGGCTCAAGCTTGGAATCCTAGCACTCAGAGGTGGAAGCAGGAGGATCAGTATTTAAGGCTAATCTCTGGCTACAAAGCAAACTCAAGGCTAGCCTGAGCTACCTGGGACCTTATCTCAAACAAAACCAGCTAAGTGAGTATCTGTTAAACCATAAAAGTTAGTTGTCACCATGGATAAAAACCAAAAAAAAAAAAAAAGGTGAGATTGCTGGGCTAGCCACAAACAGATTAAAAACCTGGTATCTGCACTGACAGGAATACAGTGAGAAAAGAATTACAACCCTGAGAAGCAGTAATTCAGAAACAGACAGGCGGCATAAATCTGCAATTGACGACATCAATGAAGGAAAGCAGAACAGAGACACAGGGTGGGGTGGGGGGGGGACACGACACAACACAGGCAACAAGAAATGGCACCAGGTAGGAATCACGCAACAAAGAAGGCTAAAAAACTCTTACCTATGTTTATTCTCAACGTGATATAGACATGATATTTCACAAATTTAGTTACAGAATGTTTCTTATTAAAAGGCTAAACAGTATTTCCCAGCAAGTATCTGTGGTTTACAAGAAGTCTTATAAGTATTTTTAAGTAGACAAACTCACTCTTTTATGTTTATTCTGTAACCCATCTTCTTTATTTTCTGATTCACCACCAGTCAAAAAGTCTGCTCCAATGTTGTTAAAAACCTTATCAATCTGCTGAAATAGAAAATGTCCATTACTTAAAGACATTTCAATAAAAATGCTATTTTACTCTTTAAAGATTAAGAACTCAAATGGGGCACACTGTCAAACACTTTCTATAAAAATAAATACCTCCTTACCTGACTCCCAGGATGTGAAACTTTTGTCTCCTCAGCAGCATTCATTTGATTTCCTATGTCCAAGGATCTACAAGAGACATAATACAATACAGGAGGTGATGATTAAGTTCAGAATCTAATACTAACAATCAGCACCATCATCACCGTGAGATAGACCGGACCTCTGCCTCAAAATGGAGGAGTTATATGGGAAAAAGAAAAGGAAATGGTCTGTTTCACCCCTCAAATATAAATACCAAAAATTAACATTTGGTTTCAGGCTGGAGGTATAACTTAATGACAAAGTACATGTTTAGCATATGCAAAGCCCTAGATTCAATGCCCAGCATCAAAAATAAAATTGTTGTTTCCACCTAAAATACATTTTCAAATATTAATTTTATAGGTTCCTACATAATAACTGTTGATCCATCAAAGTTCACATATATATGCAACATAGAAAACACAGCATATAGGGCCCAGCATGGTGGTGCTCACCTTTAGTCCCAGCACTCTGGAGGCAGAGGCAGGCAAATCTTTGTGAGATTGAGGCCAGCCTCGTTCACATAGCAAGTTCAGGCCATTTGGAGCCACAGGGGGATGGAGAGAGGGAGGGAGGGAGGGAGGGAGCGAGGGCATATAGAGAGTGATTTTCTCTTTCATCATGTGTATTTGTTTCCATAAACCTTTACCTTACTCTGGGCAGAAGCTAGAAAGTTTCTATTTGGGGACTTTGCTCAATGAGCTCATGATTCATATTAATTTGCCGAGTTTCAGATGTCTCTTGGGGTATGCTACATTCATGGTTTACACTGAAGCCAAGAATATACTAAATCTTTGACTTGAATAAAATATCATTTTCCAGTGAACAATTTCCATCTATGTCTTCTTCCTTTGAATAGCAGTGCTCTGAAATACTTTAGAAAATCCCCCTAAAAGCAGAGGTGAATGCTGTAATACTGCGGGCTTAATAATACTCCTGGGGCTAGAGAAGAAATTTTATTTATGATTTGCCACCAATCTGAGGGTCTGCGCCAATGGTGTTAAAAACCTTAACAATCTGCTGAAAGAGAAGAGTCTGTCACTTGTCACTTAAGGACATTTCAGTGTGGCTCACAGGCTTCACAAGTGCCCATGTGCTGTTGGCACGCAGCAGCCAAGCTTACAATGTTGACTACAGATTTTCTCAGAAACAAAATTTCCATTATGTAGAGAAAATACTATTATACCCTTTTTTTTTTTTTTTCCGGTCTTTTTTAGACAGGGTCTACCTGTAGCCCCAGCTGTCCTGGAACCCACTATGTAGACCAGGCTGGCCTTGAACTCACAGAGATCCGCCTGCCTCTGCCTCCCACGTGCTGGGATTAAAGGCGTGTACCACCACGCCTGGCTTATATCCTATTTTTTTTTAATTATTTTTATTTTTCATGTATGAGTATATTGCCTGCATGTATATAAGTGCACCTGTATTGTGCAATGCCCACAGAGGTCAAAAGAGGGTGTTGAATTTCCTGGAACTGGAGTTTCAAACAGTTGTTAGCCACCATGTGGGTGCTGTGAATCGAATCCAGACCCTCTGCCAGAGCAGAGCAGTTAACTCTCTTAACCATAGAGCCATCTCTCTAATCCCAGAGAAGATACTATTCTATCATATTATACATTTGTACTCAAAAAGTCACATTAGATTTTCAATAACATTCCATTTTAATCCATTTCAAATTACTAATCTATTGAAAATTTTGTAATGCTTCAATATATTCAAATTAAAAATCCAGCAATTTTTCTATTCCATACTCCAGAAGATCCCTCATAAGCTAACTTTACTGTCCCCCCAAACACTGCTGTTCCCATGCAGCCTACTTACTTCTGCTGCTCCTGCATTATGTGAAGTTGCTCCAGTTTAGTCTTATGTTCAGACTCCAATCTGCTGAGCATCTCTTTTATGACGGAAATGAAAGAATTGAACTGGTAAAATAAGAAATTGATATGGTTAGAACATTCTAAGTTTGTAGCTAATGTAATCAATGAAGAAAATTCAGTAAGTTAATACTGTCCACTTTGACAGTAGAACACGACTAGCTCAGAGCACCAAGAGCACAAGTCCACTTTACCAGCTTCTCAAAGCAAGCATTCAATGTGTGTGGAGGTGACATGACAGCTGATGTTGATAAAACCTTTAAGTCCTGGAAAGCATGTCTCACTCAGTAAGCTTTATATTCTGATCTAGCAGCTATTTCTCGGGACCCATAAGTTTACTACTGACAGCTGCACATGGATAATTTGTGCCTATTGAGAAATAGTTCGTCTTAATAACAGACATTCTTGTTTGTTCAGATTGTTATAGAAATAATGTGTTTGGCTAAAATAAATGTAATTGAAGTCCATAACTGTATCTAATACTAAATTTTAGTCTGAATTAAGCTGTCACTAAACTACAGCTGATGGCCAGCGATTCTCACGGCACTTCCAGGTCATCATAAACAATAGACGTGAACAGCACTGCAGATTACAGAAGAATCTAAAAACAAATCTTACAAGGACATCTCCATGCTGAGGGAGTGAGGGAAGTAAAATTTTACTAGTCTTTACAACTCTTCAAACTAGGTTTATCAATATTTCTACTTTTATATATGAGGGCAGCGGGGCTCAGCAAAATAAAGCAACTCACTCCAAGACAGTAAATAGCTTGCACAGCAGTTAGACCACACTGTCGGCCTCCCAAGCCTGTGCTCTTTCCTACCACACTGCATTGCTTCTCACTACATGAAAAGTGTACTTCTTAGCAGTCTGCTGTGACTGACTTTCTGCTAATCAGACTTTCATAAACAAACTATAATATACTACCAGAAGTTATGTACATAGCTCAAATAAGGCACAGACTGAACATATCCAAGGTAACTAATAATCAAATGGAGAAACAAAACACTGTCAGCACCCCACAGAAACTTTCTTGTGCTCTCTTCCAGTTGTTCCCCAACCCTACACTCTGGGTAAACACTATTCTGACACTTGACAGCATAAACTAGATTGTTTTCATACTGTACATAATGAAATCATTTAGTGGAGCCTCTTCTGTATCTGGGCTCATTTGTTCAACATCATGTATATGACAGTCACATTTTTACACGTAACTTGTACAGATAGAGTTACTGTGGTAGGCCACATCTGCTCCTTATGGAAGGATCTGCCTGCAAGGTAGACTTTGGCTAGCACCTGGGAATTTAGTTTTCAAGAAAGCTCCCATGGTTAACTGATAATAATAAGACTTTTAAATCTTGCTGTTCTTAAAAAGTATGTTCTATGCTGAACATCTCCTTTCCCCTACTGGAGTCTGGAATTTGAGAATATGCCTGTCAAGAGGTACTGCTTGATCAACTCTCAATAGAAACTCTGGGTGCTGTCTCTAACTGGTTGGCAGCATTTCACATGTGTTGTCACAACTCATTACTGGGAGAACTTAGGCACATCCTGTGATTCTAACAGGAGGGGACTGGAGGCTTGTGCCTAGTTTCCATGGGACTGAGCCTTATGAATCTTCTCCCTTTCCTGGTGGTGTTGTATATCTATTTACCATAACAAGTCAAATCCATGAGTACAACCGCATGTGAGTCCCACTCATCATCAATCTAGGGTGGCCTTAAGAACATACTGTACACATTATTCAGTGAGAATGATGGGCAGTATTTCTGTTGGTTTTCCATCAAATGCTAAAAATGTATTTTCCTAACTTTATCTTTTTCAGTTATTGTAGAATACATTTAAAAATTGTCCTGTTCTGTCTTTTTTTCTAGTTCCCTGTCTAGAACTTGTAATGCTAATTACTCTTGCCTTTGCTTCTCCTTCACATCTCCTATTCGTGATTCAAAGACTTTCTTTTTCTCCTTGAAATAAGAGTTACACAATTTGGGAGTCTTTTAGATAGACCCACTGAAGGGGTACTCCAATTGCCTCACCCTGCGTCCCTGTTTAGCATGGAAGAAGCCAGAGTGGTCTGTGTCCCAATTCCCTA